GTATCGGCTATCGTGGAGTTTTAAGAGTTGCCCGATATGAGTTTTTGGATTCCATTTATTTTGTGATATACAAATGGTTACAGTCAAAAATTCTCATGATAAGCAAAACCTCTCAGACAGTCATAGAGAGCGACGTTGACGCAACTAAGTGATGTTTTCCAATGTAAAATTCATTCTACAATATAACAAGTATAGGGACTGAATGGCCGAGTGGCTAGCGCTCTGGAGCTCTTTACCACAGGATTCGAGTCCCGGCACCCGGCGGTGCCATAGGTGTTTGTAGTGGTTCGGAATCCACTTTAAACCGTAGGTCCCGGTCTAATAGGATCGCAGAGCGTTGCGGGGATAGTGTTACTCGCGTCCGTAGCATATCTTCAAGCTATACGTGCCCCCGGGTAGTGCTGAATGAGTAACAGCGGTGCAGCCCTTGCTTATGGTATAAATATTAACTCTCTATATTGATAGCTGCATTAGAACAACAGCACAATAGTATTAAAAAGAACAAATTTTGAATATTTTATTGATTTTCTAGAATAAATTTAAGCGGAAGTTAAGAATAATGCTAACAAACAAAGATGTAAAATATCTAGTATCGAATAAGTAGGCGTATATGTAATTATAAGATGCGCATGTAGAGATCAGGTTTTAGCAATTTATGTCAGAATTACTTCCGTTCAGACATTTCGACGAATTCCGTGAGCTGTTTTGGTAACATTCCATGCTACAGAATTTAGGAATTTGATTGCGTTTCTTCTATTCTAAAGAATAATTCCCACCATGAAGTTCTGCCCCATGCTTTTATATAACCTGTTCGTTATTGGCGTTGAGTGACGAGACACGATACGTCGACTAATCACAAATCTCAGCTGCTTGATGCTTGAGGTTTGCGATCAGTTACAATTCATGTCACAGCGCTTAACACCTTGGTGTGAATGCGGTTTAATGCTCTTAATATTATATCTTTTTTTAGAATCTGCACTTTATTTGTTTGAGGAGTATGGAATATGTCCACCGATAACAAATTTCTTATATAACAGATGAGCTGAAAAGTTCATAGGCTGACACATTGATGGCGCTACTAGTATTAAATTCATACAATTTTTAGTTAGCCCTAACTTTCAAAAGACACGTGTATAAATTTGACAGCTGTTGCACTATTAGTATGTGAGTTATAGCATTTTTAGTGTTCATCGCGTTCATCGCAGTCCACTCGACTGACTGTCGATTGGACTGCGATGAACCATGTTTCATCCATTGTGACATATCGACGCAGAAATTCGGGTTTATTACGATTGGACAGCTCCAAACACTGCTTAGAATCATCCATTCGTTGTTATTTTGGATCGATTGTGAGCTCGCGCGGCACCCACTATGAACAGAGCTTTCGCATATCCAAATATTCATTCACGATATGTCCAACACGCTCCTTTGATATTTTTAGGGTCTCAGCTATCTCAATCCACTTCACTTTACGGTTATCAGAAATTATTTTGTGGACTTTTTTGATGTTTTCGTCGGTAACAACCTCTTTGGGGCGTCCACTGCGTGCATCGTCCTCGGTGTTCATTTCGGCTCGTTTAAATTTAGCAAACCACTTCTCTATGGTTGATTTTCATGGTGCAAAGTCCGAATAATGTTTATTAAGCCAAGCCTTGGCTTCAATGGTATTTTTTTCGCCAAAAAGCAATGCTTTAATTAACATACGAAATTCCTTTTTATCCATTTTTTCAAACTACCAAAAGTTGCTTCACTAAAAATGCTATAATTCACATACTAATAGTGCAACAGCTGTCAAATTTATACACGTGTCTTTGGAAGGTTAGGGCTAACTAAAAATCATATGGATTTTATACAAGTAGCACCATCTATGTTTCAGCCTATGAATTGTTCAGCCCACCTGTTATTCTTTTTCGACTAAAATATGCTTTCCAATATTGTACTTGCTCTACATTTTTCGTGAATGTAACAAATTTTCTATCCAAAAATTACCTCCAAATCAAGAACATTAAATTTATCACGTGATGTTTTGTTAGGAAAAAAATATATAATGGGTGTAGTTGGCTGTTGTTTGCTATTTCAAGAACTCGATTCTTAGCTCAGCTTTCGCATTCGTACGACATTATCAACTGGATAAAAGCAAACAATCAGCTGCAAAGGAATTTGTCATAATTATAAACAAAAGATATAATAAATTTTACGAATTATCGCTTTTTCCAATTCCTTCTATCAGTTCACACTCTCCCTATATATATACCTTGTTCACATTTTCAATCGTTCATGAAACACTTGTTATTCATCCACTCCAGTTCAAATACATTTTTTTTCAACTTGTAGTGGATGAACACTGGATGTTAATGCAGTTTTTTTTCAAATATTAATTCATTCATTAATTTTAGTTTTTTTTAAAATTTAAGTTGTATGTATCTACCAATAGATGGCGCCAGATGTTAAGAGGAATATGTCAACTTTATCTATAAAGGACTTTCAGCAATAGAGTGAAAAAAAAAAAGTAGGAATTGACTTAAAAAATATTTTTTTTTCGTATATTACTTGTTTTTAAAACGTCTTAAAATTTCCTAGATGCACAGATCAACAAAGGATTAAATTAATATTTTCCTGCAAATCAGAGGAGAACGATTTTTCACGAGTAACTATACTTTCAAATGTGCGTACTTACGTGCACTAGGTCTTTGCTTTCACCAGCTATTTCTTGAAGTTTTTGTCCGCAAATTCCAATTGCAGTCAAGAGACGTACTTTGGTTCCCGAAACAACTCCCATAAATGCTAAAGAGGAAATATAAATTGAAATATTATTAGAAACGTCTTCTTACATAAAAAAATATAATTGATTTGCTTACTTCATTACTTTTACTTACAAATAATTTTACTTACCACAATTTCCTGCCTATATTTACAAATACTGCCTATAATCCATCTATTTATTCATTGGGAAATATTAAAATTTTGTGGCAGTTATAGGCTGCAACGTATAATAATTTTGGCACTATGTTTTTTTTTTTGTATGTTTAGAGATGACTTTGCATGAGAAAAAACTTGATACAATTTGCATGGATGTGTTATAGTGGAAGAAAAAAGGTTTGTAATGTGTTATTAAAGAGTTTTAATAAAATTTAGCATAAACTGTGATTAATAATGAACTATGGTCCTGGTTAGATATCTTTACCAGTATCATTAAATATTATTTATTCATTATTTCATGAAAATATCGCATTTTTGTTTCCGCTACAATTCTTAAATTCATAACTTCATTCCGATTTCCACTATCCTAAAAACATCAAAACTATTTTGTTATGGTTTTTCTTTTCTTTTCTTTTTTTTTTTTTTTTTTCGTGTCACAGGTGTAAAAACAACGCGGCATTGAGCAACACGGTAAACAACAAATTGATATGGGTACATGAGGGAATTATCCAGTATTATATACGATAAATTGTGGGCGCTCGGTAGCACAGGTTTCGGGTTCGAGTCCCGGCGGTGCCATGGATGTTTGTAGTGGTTCGGAATCCACTTTAAACCGTAGATCCCGGCCTAATAGGATCGTAGAGCGTTGCGGGGGCATTGTTACTCCGCCTCCGTATCTTCAAGGTACACGCGCCCCCTGGGTAATGCAATAATGCAAAGTGAGTAACGTCTGTGCAGCGCTTGCCTTAAGGCATCCAAGACCAAGCTGTTTAAGTGTTTGCCAGCTGCATTAGAAAGAAAAAAAAACATTTACGACTGCAGTTAAGAAAAATTATCGAAGTATCCAACTGGTTTATTAGCCTGACTTTTAGCAGACTTGTAATGCAGCTATTAATGATGAGACTCGATTCCATATTCTCGATTGCGTTTCAGAAACGAGGAGACTCGATAGCGGTGCCACATGCTTTTTAAAGCGACTTGTATCAACAATCAATCTGCTTGAGAGTTTTGAGAATACCATGATTCCATAGTAGTCACTGTTTACAGAAACGAGTGGATTCCGTGGCGATTGTGACAATACGTAAAGTTTCTCATATTGATAGTCAGGCTGAATGCTGAGATTTTCTTCCTTAAGATACGCAAATGTCAAACCGTTGAATCTGAAAAATCCTTCCGAAGTCAATATCCTATCGTCATCGTCTATTTTGTCCTCATAGTAGGTCGCCATATGTAAATGGAATAAAAGATCACACCAACATTAAAAAAAATAATGCTTTTTCTTATCAGTAGATACCAATTGAAATATTCATCGATGCTCAACAACAACAACAACAAAAAAAAAAAAAAAAAACATGAAGGACAAATGCGTATGATAGGTTATATTTTTGGAAAACCTGAGGAACTTGATGGATTCCTGATGGCCGAGTGACTAGCGCTCAGTGCCAGAATTTTCGGGTTCAAGTCCCAACGTTGCGATGGATGTTTGTAGTGGTTCAGAATCCAGTTTAAACAGTAGGTCCTACTACTACACCACTCCACACCACATCACAATCACTGTGGCTAGAACTGAGATGCCGCTTTACAGTTTGGGAATGATGTGGGTCCGGTCATATGAGACTGGGACCTACGGTTAAAAGTGTATTCCGAACCACTATAAAAATCCGTTGTACCGCAGGGATTCAAACACGATACCAGTGGCACCGATTGCCAGAGCGCTAGCCACTCGGCCATCAGGCTCCCCAAATGGTAGGTCTTGCTCCAATAAAGGCAAAAAAACCCCTTAAAAAGGAAACATATCCTGTTTAGGAATCTGCCAATAGGCAGACGGCCATAATTCAACATGGACTGTAGTGCTAGGCTGTAGTTAGTTAGCTGGAGGAATTTGATGAAAACCTCAAATTCTCTGCTGTTTATTCAATTATTTTTGCTAAACTACTTTAAAAGGGACATAGAACCTTGCCGTAATATATATATATATATATATATATATATATATATATATATAATTATATATATATAATAATATAATTATATATATATAATAATAAAATATATATATATATATATATATAATTTGAAGCTGCCTGATGGGCAATTGGCTAGCGTTCTGGTCTTTGGTACCAGAGGCTTCAAGTTCGAATCCTGATTTTGGCATGGATGTTTGTTAACGGTTCGGAATCCACTTTAAACTGTAAGTCCCGGTCTGATTAGTACAAAGTGTACACACAATGACCGTAGAGCAACAAACCAATTAAACGATCTATTTTTAAAAAATATTTTTTAATATCAAAAACATTTTAAAACAAATCGCATTTAAGTCAGAAAAAATTATGGTTAGAGTGACAAAACTTAGAGATCTTTTAATTTTTCAACAGGATTATCTCAGTTTCTGATTTACCCACTCTCTCACGAGAGCAGTTATGATTGCAAAGTCATAAAAATTTGTATTAATGTTCTACTACTTATTTACCCATATTCATTGTAGCTGAGTTAATAGAACCAATATAATTGCAATTTAAAACATGATAAATATTAATAATTTTAACAATTTCAATTTCAGGTCTCTTATTTAAAAAAATTATTAAATGTTGTGTATCTTTAAAAATTGGGGTTTGCAGAATTCACTTATTATTTAGTTTTTATTCGATATAAAAATTTACGTGATCTTGCGAAAAACAAAAAGTAACTTATGTCGATTTTTTTATGTCATTTAAAAAAAATATATTAATTGAATTACAAACACGAAATCAATTTCTTAAAAGCTATATTTTATTATAAGATATACCAAAATTTCAATCTAAACGGAGTAAAACTTTGGGATTTATGATGATTCAAAAAAAAAAAAAAAAAAAAAAAAAAAAAAAAAAAAAAATTTTAAAAATAATCAATATTAGATTCGCACGGCGCCCTTGATAAAAAAAACAATAAGCATTTAAACAGTAGGTAAAAAATATGTTATTCAACGCTTCTCAATTTATATATTACCAAAAAAAAAGAATCTTTATCATTCATGAAATAGTCTCTATCTACATCATTTCGTTCTTATCTTACACGAAAGTTTCTATTCTATGGTCTATTAAGTCTATATCGAAAAATGCCTGCTTAGGCAGTTTAAAATGTAAATGTTTGCTTATACTTGCATGTGGTTTTTGAAATCAATTCATTTTCAATTTTCGGTTTCGCTCTGATTTTGATAAATTTATAAGATCGGACGGACTAAGAAGGACAGGAAAATTTTGGTAGCGAGAATACAACATAAACATTTTACGTTTCTGAAAATTCTCTTTTCCATGTCCACTCTCTTTATTTTTTGTGAATTTGCAATTTCCACAGTTTGTGTACTATACTTTTCATAGTACCATCTATATAACAAGTGGGCTGAAAAGTTCGTAGGCGGACACATAGATGGCGCTACTAGTATTAAATCCATATGATTTTTAGTTAGCCCTAACCTTCAACTAAAAGACCATATGACCTTACCATAACCAAGACCATATTCATCCATATGACCTTAGTTAGCCCTAATTAACGTGCATAAATTTGACAGCTGTTGCACTATTAGTATGTGAGTTATAGGATTTTTAGTGAAGCAGCTTTTGCGAGTTTGAAAAAATGGATAAAAAGGAATTTCGTGCGCTAATAAAGCATTGAGTTTTGGCGAAAAAAAATACTTTTGAAGCCAATGCTTGGCTTGATAAACATTATTCGGATTTTGCACCAGGAAAATCAACAGTAGAGAAGTGGTTTGCTAAACTTAAATGAGGCGAAATGAGCACCGAGGACGATGCACGCAGTGGACGCCCCAAAGAGACTGTTACCGAGGAAAACATCAAAAAAGTTCACAAAATAATTTCTGGTAACCGTAAAGTGAAGTTGATTGAGATAGCTGAGACCCTAAAGATATCAAAAGAACGTGTTGGACATATAGTGAATGAATATTTAGATATGCGAAAGCTCTGTTCAAAGTGGGTGCAGCGCGAGCTCACAATCGACAAAAAACAACAACGAATGGAGGATTCTAAGCAGTGTTTGGAGCTGTTCAAACACTGTACACCCGAATTTTTATCATTGTGAATTTGCAATTTCCACAGTTTTTGCACTATACTTTTCATAGTACCATCTATATATTATGCACACAACGCGAGTAATACTGTGTCCAAAAAGTAAGACCCATTTTCAATTTAAAATTCCTGGGGTTTAAAGAATTTCAATTTGCTTTCTTTGTTAGGTTGCTGGCACTGTCCTTGACATCTGTGTGAAATTTGACGTCAAAATATTCATTAGTGTTTGAGTTACACTTGGCAATGTGAGAAGCAACTGCCTGCCTTTCAATTTAACTGCCTTTTAGAATGAAGTTTTTTATGAAAATAATCTTCAAGATCTTAATTTTTCTTTTCTTAATCTTCAAGATCTCTTAAATTGCACATAACTGAGCAAACTTTTAATATGACATGAATCGATAAGTTCTTTCAAAGCTATGCCAAGATAGTTAATATTATGTTTTAGTTACCATTCATTACCCAGTTCTTTTTCTGAACATACATAATTAAAATATTTATCCAAGATGAGAAAATCATTCCAGAATTTGGGTCATTATGCATAATTTGGGGTTGAGTGACTTCTAATGGTTTATTATCATCTTGCTACATGGAGATAAGTTTTTACTACTGCATAAAATTCATAAACTTAAATAAATTTTGTATCAAAATCACATATACAATAATAAAATTTATACACTAATTGATGCATGGAAAAATTTATGAAATTGATAAACATATATAAACACTATATTCATTCCTTCATTATTTAACTTTATTAATGTTATCATTGCCGATGCCACTTTGCTATCAAAAACACTCACAGAAGACTAACACATCAACCCGACCAATTTGGAGGTCTGGAAACTTAAACAGAAAAGAAAAACACACAGGATTGCAGTCATATAAACGGAACAGAGATATTCTTGCAATTTGGAAGATAATCAAAAGAGAATCCAGGTTGGAGAACAGCAAACATAGGATTGCAGTCATATAAACGGAACAGAGATATTCTTGCAATTTGGCGGATAATCAAAAGAGAATCCAGGTTGGACAACAGCAAACACAGGATTGCAGTCATATAAACGGAACAGAGATATTCTTGCAATTTGGAAGATAATCAAAAGAGAATCCAGGTTGGACAACAGCAAACACAGGATTGCAGTCATATAAACGGAACAGAGAAATTCTTGCAATTCGGCGGATAATCAAAAGAGAATCCAGGTTGGACAACAGCAAACACAGGATTGAAGTCATATAAACGGAACAGAGATATTCCTGCAATTTGGAAGATAATCAAAAGAGAATCCAGGTTGGACAACAGCAAACACAGGATTGCAGTCATATAAACGGAACAGAGATATTCTTGCAATTTGGAAGATAATCAAAAGAGAATCCAGGTTGGACAACAGCAAACACAGGATTGCAGTCATATAAACGGAACAGAGATATTCTTGCAATTTGGAAGATAATCAAAAGAGAATCCAGGTTGGACAACAGCAAACACAGGATTGCAGTCATATAAACGGAACAGAGATATTCTTGCAATTTGGAAGATAATCAAAAGAGAATCCAGGTTGGACAACAGCAAACACAGGATTGCAGTCATATAAACGGAACAGAGATATTCTTGCAATTTGGAAGATAATCAAAAGAGAATCCAGGTTGGACAACAGCAAACACAGGATTGCAGTCATATAAACGGAACAGAGATATTCTTGCAATTTGGAAGATAATCAAAAGAGAATCCAGGTTGGACAACAGCAAACACAGGATTGCAGTCATATAAACGGAACAGAGATATTCTTGCAATTTGGAAGATAATCGAAAGAGAATCCAGGTTGGACAACAGCAAACACAGGATTGCAGTCATATAAACGGAACAGAGATATTCTTGCAATTTGGAAGATAATCAAAAGAGAATCCAGGTTGGACAACAGCAATGCCAAAACACATGACACACGTGGCAAAAACACTTGGAAGCAAAGAAACGTGAAACTTTAACATACAGCAAGAAAAACCAAAAATCTTCGAAACAGAACTCGCTTCCAATTCAAACCCTTTGAATTTTGTAATTATTTATTTATTTATTCCGCGCTTTAACTAACCTGCTGACTTTTTGTAGCATCACGAAGACTGCTGTATAAAAAAATATCGGAGATCTACTTTTTATTAAGGGGTAATCGGACCCAAGTCATGATTCGTTTTACTTGATCTATTATGAATAATGTTGTTTTCATATCCCTCATGTAAGGAGAGAAGCTTCTGTTGTGATGGTGTACCCGCAGGTAGAAGTCTGATTTTTGCTCCTTGTCGCTGTAGGAGGAGGACAGTGGAAAGAAAAACTTTAGAAAAAATAAAAACTTCCGGAAAGACTTTTACGAGGAACTACCCAGCATTTGCGTATCGTATGGGAGAAAACTCAGAAACTCCCCCAGGCAGTCCGACTAATGAAGCAAGATTCTGAACATCCCAAACGCCATCGAGACTCCTCGTTTTTTGAAACAGTGTTTACAATAAAGTCGCCAGAGGACTAAACCTCAGCCCTCATGCACAGTAGTGGCGCGTGTTGGCACTGAGCCGCGAATCAGGTGATTATTAATAATAATTAAAGCAATTAAATAGTTCGAAACAACATGGGAAATAACGGAAAGCCCCTCTTATTAGCTTTAATAGTCTCTAAGCAACTGCTTCAGAGCGAACAAAATTGCATTCTGATCACTAAAAGTGGTCGGGTTGACATTTTCAGAAGAGAGAGCTTAGAGCCATGTCTGAGGTCTGATGGCCGAGTGACTAGCGTTCGGCCGCTCGGTGCCACAGGTTTCGGGCTCGCCTCCCAGCAGTGCCATGGGTTTCTGTAGTGGTTCGGAATCCACTTTGAACCATAGATCCCTGTCTAATACTACTGTAGAGCGTAGGACTGATAACCGTACCTCGTAAAATGAATACATCTCCTGTCTCGAAGTCTGTCAGTAGGCAGACGGCCTTGACCCACAATGGTGGGTTTTTGAGCCAATGAAGAAGAAAAAGAAGGAGATAGTGTCACAATTGAATGTGTTAAATTATAGGTAGGAATTCAAAAAGGGCATTTATATATATACAATACTTTTACGCAGTA